TTTGGCTGGAGGAGAGGAGATGAGATGAGGGGAGGGACAAAACTAAGCTTTGTAAGTGGTGTAACTGTTGTCTCGTGCAGTTATAGCTGTAGTTGCTTGATTCGGTTTTAGGATGTCGGATTTTGTTTGAATTTTACCAGAGTTTAATTGCAATTAGAGTTATAATTTAAAAGCTCAATTTTCAGTTCAAAAAATTTTTAGCTAAACTTATGTCATAAGAATACGCAAGCTATTGACTATAACTAGGTCTCTTTACAATTGTAGTCACAACTACATTTATCAATTGTAGGAAAAAAAAAAAATCAGCCATACTTGTTTTAAAATGCCTCAGTTACACACAATTGCAAATATAACTCAAATAGTTACAGCCAATCAAACAAGCCATTTAATTAATCAGCAAAAAATAAACCAAGTTGAAAGGAAAAAAAAAATGAAATTACTAAATATAAGTACGAAAGGTTGTATATATGAGAGAAATCAAAGTATCTTTAAAATAGATTTACTTAATGATATCCCTTCCATACATTGTGGTGGTCATGATTCTACAACAGAGGACCACAGCTTGTTTGACTCTGCGCTTCTTTTCTCGGCTAAGGTTTATCTTTTATTTACATTTTCCCTTGATAATATTCCTTTGGTATCTTGTTTAAGGTTATTAGACTCGTAGATTCTACTTTTGCCTTTTTTGTATTTTTGATTGGTTGTAGTTTAGCTGTATTCTAATAAATATTGGTTCCAATTAATTTGAACTTTATAAAGGCGAAGGAGGAACTTTGAGCCGCAAAATTTGGTCAAAGTTATTATTCTTATTGGATGCGTATTCTTTCCATTGTTTAATTAAATAATAAAAAGACCATTTTCTTACTAGTCTATTGTGTAATGAGAGTATTAAGTGTAATTCATGAAAGCTACAATTTTAGTTATATTAGAAATATTGAAGCATGACAATTTAGATATATAGAAGGGTAGTAATTAAATACGAAATTGATCTATTACTAACTAAACGAAGCTACAACATAGACATTTTAAATCTGGGGTAATCTATTTCTTTTACTACCTAATATACATCCAAATAAAAGTGGTATAATGTGAATATTAACCATAATAACTTATCCAAACTTACAAGTGAAGAAAGTGAACGGTCTCATTTGAGGGGGCTCAGGCTCTCTACGGTAAAATAAGTGGAGGATATACAGTTCTTCAAAATTTAATAGTCTCTTATTTAGTGAACAATTTATAATTTGGCTCGAGTAAACCGTGAGATTGAATGCAAATCACGAGGGATAAAAATATGTAAGTGTTAGATTCAGGACAAGTCATAATAGTCCGCTAAACAGTGAACGGTTGTGATTAAATGGATATCGCCGACTGTTTTTCTACAGTCAAGAGGATCCAAAGCGGTCTGAGCTAGGTGGACTGAGGTGGGCTCTAGGTTGATTGAACTATGGAGCAACATGTTAGGACACGAGATATAACATGGAAGGTTCCCTCAAGACTAAAAAGGATTAAAGCTAACTTTAATGCATGAGCTTTACACTAACCACTAAGGTATAATATTGCACTTGTTCCTTCATGCCTCCTACTTTCAACTAGTCAATGCAATCTCCTCCCTTGTTCTTCCGTGCATGCTTACAACTTGAGCGCAACCATCTTCACTCATTTCTCTAGTATCAAGTTCATGAGATCTCTTGCTCACCATTCTTTTTCATGGTCCCTCAAATGACTATAAAAAAGTGCATGTGCATGTGTAGTGTAAGCAAATTGAACTTCTCTCTCACTCCATTAGTTCATTAAAAAATGATCATTTAGCACAAATTTTAACTTCTCTCTCTCTCAAGGCTAAAAGGATTAAAGGTAACTTTAATGCTTGAGCTTTACACTAACCACTAAGGTATAATATTGTATTTGTTCCTTCATGCCTCCTACTTTCAACCAGTCAATGCATGCAATCTCCTCCCTTGTTCTTCCATGCATATGCTTACAACTTGAGTGCAACCATCTTCACTCATTTCCCTCATATCAAGTTCATGATCTCTTGCTCACCATTCTTTTTCATGGTCCCTCAAATGACTATATAAAAGTGTGGATGTGTAGCGTAAGCAAATTTAACTTCTCTCTCACTCCATTAGTTCATTAAAAAAATGATCATTTAGGACAAATTTTTGCTAGTTGCAATTTAAAATTAGCATTTGTTATAATATGTGAGAATGCAAGAAGTATCAGGGAAGAAGAGGAAGGAGATCAAATAAATAGATTTTCTATACTCGCTTTAGATTTTACTTGAAGAGGATTGCATGTTCATCCCTTTGCTATAAGAAGAAGGGGCGATGATGTTTGCAATGACCTTAAAGCTTCTTTTGTGATAAATTATTAGAGGCTTCCTTTGTGTCAACTTTTGTTGGTGGAGTGCAGATTGAAACTAAAATATACACCACCTTTTCATGTTACATAGTCATAAAAAGTGAGTAGCACCAAGGAAGTTTTGAATTCCTTATTATTATACTTTAATTCTAAAGTTATAATGAGGATTGAAGACTATAGTTTTGTAATTTTTAACGTATCTCATATTTGGTATTCTTCTTTACGACAAAGATGTCAGTATATATTCTTTGCAATAACATATTTTATTTTATTTTTCATATGTACCAAGTCGGTTTTAAATATGAACTGCTTTGATATTATCTTAAATTTGTTACAACATAAAAACTTAGAAATTAATGACGTAATCTAGGATTCTAATTATTCATAAACTTACCAAAAAAGGGAAAAAAGAAAATTTTGAGAGAATTAATGGAAAACCTGTATTTGAGAAAAGAGCTTATGGCTACAAGAGGTTACGACGGTTGCTAGTCTTACTGATATGCCCTATCATGGATGCTTTTATACCTGGAACAACTCATACGTATATTGTAAGCTAGATAAAGCATTGATCAATGATATTTTGTTGGATAATTTTTCTAATCTCGATGCTGAGTTCTTAGTGTTGGATCTAATATTTCAGATCTAAATCATAAAGCCATGATTAATTCAAAGAGATTAACAAGAATCAAAAGGTACGGAAGCATATACCTGAATCTATTGAGAAAAACCTTTTTTAGGGTTTTGATGATCTTCTAACCTTAGCGTTTCTCTAGCCAAATTTCTCTCTAGAT